CTACAAAACATCATTGCAGTTGAACTTTTGAGGTAGGCTTGATCGTCCTACAGTGATTTGTCTAATTCTGAACATGGCCCAATTTTGAGTCACATGCGCCCCTTTCGTCAGTGGAATCTATAACCAGCTGGGCAAGGGCAGGTTGCCAGTATGTCGCCATTCACCTACAGGTCATGCAACCTCTCTGTCAATCATGAAGATAGAATAGATTCAAATCTCTATAAAGCTCTTTGATTTAGATTTTTTAATAATAATATAAATTAAATTGGCCTAAAAGTTTTCGTCAAACTATTCAAGTTTACAGAATGTTAATCGATTTATAGGGGTAGCGGATTTCTACCCCCGGATATTTACCCCCATGAAAAAACGCCTACGTCATTTTGACGTCATGAGGGGTGGGGCCTATACACGGTCGAGAAACAGCCCGCGACTGGAAATTTACCCCCAATATATTAATAAATAATCAACATGTAATTGTTTGATTATAAAGTGATTTGCCATAGCACGGAAATCTACCCCCGGACATTTACCCCCAGAAATCCACCCCGGACATTTACCCCCGGATATCTACCCCCAGACATTTACCCCCGGATATCTTCTACCCCCGGGCATCTACCCCCAGACATATAACCCCGGACATCTACCCCCGGACATCTACCCCCAGACATCTACCCCCGGACATCTACCCCCAGACATTTACCCCATGACATCTACCCCCGGAAATCAACGGCTCTTCGGTTAAGCATTGTCTTGTAATATCCAGTATAAAGCATGCGATATGTCATTGTCTTGTTTAACATTATCTATCTTCCTAATTCAATAAGCTGTAACAGTCCTTTTTCACCCGAAGTACTTCGCCGATTGTTACGATTGAGGTGTCATTTTAAAGCTTAAGATCTTGCGCAGAGCAAAATGGTAATTAAAAAGGATATTTTGATTAGGGCTTCAAAAGGTTGACCCCTAAGCCTTTGATTTATTTCTAGAAGGTGCTTCCAATGGTTGACCAACTTTCACACTATACAGTAACAGTGTTAAAGGTGAAATGTGAGCAGATTACTAATCAGTTAAATTTTTAAGTCAGGTTGAAAACCAGAATAGATCGTCTGCAACTGTAAACAAGAGATGGAACACTACACCAAAACGACTTTTCGTTCTCAATTGGCCTCTATCAATGACCTGTGTTGCCTGTACAGCAAGGCATTTTGAGAAGGAGAAAACCGGCCGGATGAATGCTTTAGGTTTATCAATAACGAAGATAAACATGGTTTTAGTTACACACCGGTAATCTTTGAGTTGACTCTTTTAAACTCATTGTAAATATCCATTGTTATTCGTTTTATCAAATATTTATGTAGAAATATCTGCTCTTATCGTGTCTAATAAAATCCAAACATAGAAACCTTGCCTAAAATGGTACCCATCTTGACAGATTATTTGCACCTGCCTATATTACGGACTTTGGCGCACTGGGTTGGTAACATTATTGAAAATAACACTACATTTTGGCTGTAAAATATGGTACAAAGAGAAAATACGATTTAAGCAGCTACTGTCATGACAGAAAGTTCATATTCCTTTAAACTAGATCACATAATCCTTTATAAGATACGTTGATTACCAATATGTAAATGTCAATATACGTAACAGCCAATTTACAGTATTTTGCTTTTTCGAAATGTCCCATTGCTATGTCATTTGCATTATTTGTTGCCAATGAAGCCGCCAAGACCATATAAATGAGGAGGCCCCTAACAGTTCAAGAATAAAAGCCAACTTCACTTCAAGTATTCCACTACACCTAACATTCCGTAGAGAGATTATTTTGACAACTTTATGTTATTGATAAGGCTGAGACAACTGACATCCCCCATATCAAGGAATTCCAGCTTTTAGTAACCACACAATAAATTTCTCAAAACTATGCTAGAGGGTTCATTCATTTGCACAGAAGTACGATATCGACGCGACGTGACGAAGGAAAAATCAAACTTACACTGTAACGTATATACCTTACTTTAAATTTAGAATATATCTTCCCAAAAAATATTTTCTTTTAAAATAAAATCATATTTACACTGATGAAATCACAGAAGTGTTTAACTACAAAAGACCCACCAATTTGATTCTAATACTATTTAAAGGTTCTTCCAAAGGAAGAGATAACATACTAACAATAACTTCGATAAGTCCGATGACGTACGGTATGGGAAATATTTTAATCATTGAATGATCAACCAAATTTGACAACTAACGAATAATTAAAATCATTATTTTTTTACACTTATTACCCTTTAAACAATGCTAAATGCTCAAAATATGTATATTTCACCCAATTTATCGCAGTTAGATGAATTAACGTAAGCCTTGAAAGTAACCGTCGATTTCGACGGGTTTCACCTAGTACTTTGCAATTGTTCGAATTCGAGCAACATGTACACTAGTTTTATATTATTGCACTTACGATTTATTTGATCCGTTTATTTACGTGAGTCACAACGTTTGTTATCTTACTTGGTTTTGGATTTTATTATAAAACGTGATCGGAAATGGTTGTAGTATTTGTAAACAAAATGTAATAACAAATTTCCAGAGACAGCTAGAAAAATCATCTTTATCCAGCTTTTCATATTTTACAGCTGTTCGTTATTTCATAGATGTCGTATTCTCCAAACAAATTATTAGTATTTCATTAATTACTGGCAAACATTAGGAGTAGTCTAAACTTGACAAAAATGCAAAAAAATTGGGGGTTTGAACAAAATGTATTTTAATTCAAAAGTAGTGAGGCCATATTGTAATGGCTTAAGTTAGTCGTGTCAATCCACCGAATCCAAAAAGACTATTTAAATCGAATCACGATCGATGCTCTAGTTTTTGAGGAGAAGGCCACGTAAAATGCCTTCTGGGCCTTGACAGACAAGACAGAAATTGAGATAAAGACTTGTTTTGGCTTCTTTAATGTATGAAACGTAAAAATGACCAAAAAATATATAATTTTGAGCAATGTTCATACTAAACTCTAATTTCATTAAAATAAATTCGTAAAACCAAAAGAACCATGAGGTAAAAGTACCTTCCCTCTCCCGAAATATCAATTTTTATTCTTTTACATTATTCTCCGTTATTTCACAACCAGCATTGACAACCAGAACCAATCATAAAATATGTTTATGTTTTATTTTTTACGATTAATTATTTGTGTAAACAACTAGAATTTTTAGCCAATGTAAAACTCCGGATAGTGTCTACGACATAGGGATTTTGCTATTTCGTATTACTAGGAGGTAATTGATAGTGAAAAATTATTAATTCATTAATCAACCTGTGGCAGGCTTTTTATCAACATTTAATTGCATTTTTTACCACTAGTAATCAGAAAATAACCTCCTTCAGTGATATGTTTTAAATTTCACGATCTGCGCTCGTACCACAGAGCAAAGAATAATAATTATTATTCTTTGCTCTGTGGCTCGTACATGTGCCGTTAGCTATGAATGTATGTGAACATTGGTCAACCATTTAAATCACTATCTGAAAATAAATCAAAAGCTTATGGGTTAAACTTTTGGAGCCCTTTATCAAAATATCCTGTTTAATTACCATTTGCGTTGCACTGAATCTTAAGCTTAAAAATGACACCTAAATCAGTTACAGCTTAATGAATTGGGAAGATAGATGACATTAAACAAGACAACGACATATCACATGCTTAATACTAGATATTATAGGGTAATTATTAAACGAAGAGCCATTGATTATTTTTATAAACCAATTACTAAAATCAACTACAACAACGAATATTTGCCGATACGTAGTGTAGCACGGGGGGTAGATTTCCGGGGGTAGATGTCCGGAGGTAGATATCTGGGGGTAAATGTCCGGGGGTAGAGGTCCGGGGTAGATGTCTGGGGGTAGATTTCCGGGGGTAGATGTCTGGGGGTAAATGTCCTGGGGTAGATGTCCGGGGGTAGATGTCCGGGGGTGGATGTCTGGGGGTAGATTTCCGGAGGTAAAGTTCCGGTGTCAGGTTTATAAGCATTTTGATTAATTACAACTGTTAAGTAAATCGTGAAATGCGAGTTGATTGAATACATAATAATTTATCCATCCTAAAAGTTCGCGGCCGGAAATCTACCCCCATACATGTGACGTCAAAGTGACGTAGGCGTTTTTTCATGGGGGTAAATATCCGGGGGTAGAAATCCGGCGACCCTTAATAGGTGGATAATAAACTCATGTTTATCAATAGTTACACATGGTGTTGAATATTACCATTGTCCATTGACTGTTGGATGCTGAAAAGTAGACATCCCTCATCTACAAGGACCAGCAGTCGCAAATTTGTATTTAAAATAACATAGTTGTGTGAGCCAGCCACAGAATGCGCTGTGTCTAAAATTAAATTTTCTACCAAATTTTTTGTTTCTGATACACATATTAGTTACCATAGCTCACAGAAATTCGTTCCATTACAGTTTGTTTTGGTTAAACAATATTGTGTATTCGACAGAAATTAGTAATTTAGATCAGCACAATCTGTCGTTGGCTCACATCAACTGCGATTTAGAAAACAAGCGATAACATAATCATGGTGATGGAATGTCTAATATTGAATGCACGAGTAGCTTGTGTTTAGCAAAAGGAAACAATAGCTTTCTATATACAGAAACAAACCCAGTATAATCAATGATAATGGGTGTTATGATGCAATAGTGCATATAAAGTAAATATATGTATATATAAGAATGAACTAATACCATATAGATACTAAAACATGCTTGTGTTGGTTAGTCTTCGCTAATACAAAATGAATGAAACTACTAGTACCTATTCATTATATTCTGTAAGTTCATACGACACAACAGTTCGAACAAAGCAAAACAATCGTAATTTTCTTCATTCAAATAAAGATATTTAGTTGCATTATATGTTCTCATTCAATAAAAACATAATAATGAAACAACAACGATGATTAAATTATTGATTATTATTAGGTCTGTACTACAGAAGATATTCGAGTATTTAATCAGCAGCCTGCTTGATAATAATATTAAACGTAGTTTTCCAATAGAAATTCTAAATAGCTAATTCTTACTAGATATCTATACTACTACGACATGAATTTAGAACTGTCACCTTTAACCTGTGAATTACGTTCTAAATAGTTTTTTCTTGTAATCGCAGCATTATTTTTTAAGTTCAAATAGCGTTTAACAAGTTTCTTCATAAGGTCGTTATAGCTTTCGTCAACAATTCCTTTGTGATTTTCTTCATCTTCAGGTTGTTTGATTGAGGTAGGTGACTGTTTCGAAAACAGTCTCTGGTAGTACACATAAAAGATCTTCCCCACAGCAGGAACAATGCTGAATGGAGGAGGAACAGCTGTTTGGGACATGTAAATCATGTAGACTTCAGTGCGGCCGAAGATCCACTGCACGTCCACGTTGTCGGTGACGTTCTGGTAGGTGTTAGACATGGCGGCGATCAGCATGTTCATTATCACTATGACAGTGAGGACTTCGTACACGCCGAAGAGACCGTAGCCTACTGCCTGGGTCAGGTCGTGGCTATTCACACTTCCCAGATGCTCGCCCACATCAGGCAAGTTCTCAATCACTACATCTGCGGCCTCTTGAGACGACATTGTGAACAATCCCCAAAACAACACTTTAAAGGTATCTTGAAAACTCACGAAGGAACTTTCCTGGACGCTCTCCGCTCCAGTTTTTGGGTCTATCTGTTTCATCCCGTCATAATATTCGTAGAGTCTAGACATCGCGACGTTAAAAGACACTACGACGATACCGAATATGATAATGAACTTTGAGAAGTCCTTTGTCATTTTCCCCATGGAAATCTGCATAGGGCCTAGAGTGTGATGCATTTGCACCAAAAGAAGAAGCCTTAAGTAAGCCAACACTGTTCCGATACAAAAGAGACCTTCAGCGAGCAATTGCGGGTCTAGGTAATGCCAGTATTTGCGTTCTAAGTCCGGCATTGTCTCCAGAGTTAGAAGAGCACACATCCAAAAGGCGAAAGTCATCGCGAACATGAGTTGGGTGAATAGATCGTAAGTGTTCCACATAAAAGAGAAAAAGCGTCGAGTGCCTTGAACAGTCCACAACCGGAATGAAGAACAAATATGAGCGACGACAAAGAAAAATATTATTACCTGCCATAAAGTGTGATTTTGAATTTCATATCTAGTTTGGCCTGTTTTGTCTCTATCAGAAGCCAAATAGAGAAGGAATAAGAAAACTAAATAAGACGCCACAGAAGTTATCATGCGGTTCACTGGGATATCGTAGAAGTTGGACCACTTTGAGTTCAAAGCTGGGACTAAACACAACAAACACACTAATGGCAAAGTAAAAATGCGACCGAAGAAGAATAAGAGACATTTTGAGTCCGCACAAGTCTTCCACATATACCAATTACCAACCCAGGCATCTTCTAGAACAGCTTGCACATTTGTTTGGGCAACAAAGAGATGCTGCTTTTTGTCCACTGCCATCAACAATCTAGGAAACTTAAAATCCTCTCCAATCCAGTCGCAGCCTTCTTTCTCACTCAACAAAGTGATAACTTCACGTCCTGTGCGGCACAACGACACCAGATCTGCAGCAAATGTTTCAGTATCTTTCATTAATTCCTCAAATCCTCTTCTAAACTCCCAACAAGCGTTCTTCCACAGTTTAATTTCTTCTACCCTCAGAAAAACTGTGAATATAGGATCTTCGCTGTCCAACATTATGTAGTATGGACTAGTCAGGGCTCTAAAAGTGTCCAGCTTTTTGGCGGCCCATTCCAGGGGGTCCATCTCCCTCAGTTCAGTAACACACTTTTTACAAACACATTTTGGTTCGTGTGGCACAGGTATCGGAGGGTGGTTTTCTTTGATTAAGTACTGCATAATTTCAAAATGTCCACAATGAGAAGCCAGCATTAGGGGAGTTAGATACCCCGGGAAGTGCAATGATCCTTTACATTCCCTGAACATTATCTCCTTCTCATATTTTCCTTTGGGCTCCAAAATCAACTTTACATACGAAATTTCGTTGGATTTTATCACATGATACAAACAGTCGTTCAACTTTAAATTTTTGTTCCCGAGCAGAAATTGTACCATAGCGTCATTGTTGAACTTAAATGCGTAATGTAAAATCGTGAATCCTTGGTAATCTACGAAGTTTATATCGTAGTTTTTTTCATTCCTGTTTAACTCCTTCCTTACAACGTTGAATCGCCCGTGCTCGGCTTCCTCAAGTAATTTTATCTCATCTTTATGTTGCTCTGCCAATGAGGTTTTTGAAGGTTGATGAATATCTTTTAAAGAAGATACCTTTATTTTCATGGCTGGTGAATAAAAAAAACTCATGAGCTCACCATTCTGTAACCTTGTTCTGTTTATGTGTCTATGTTGTTTTCATTCACATGTGGTTTTTTGAAAACAAATCGCCATAGAGGTCAATAAATTTATAATTTGAGTACATTTTATGTCAAGTTATGTATACTACTTTATCAATACACAGGGGGTTTAATTGATTATAACTATTCTATTATTCTTCATCCCAGCTAAACAAAACTGTACAGCTAGGCCTACAAACTTAAACATCCTCATAAATTAATTTATTATGGCTCGGACGGAATTTTAAGGTAGTCACGAATTGTGGATATTTATAGGCATGCACTGTGGGTGCGATACCCCCTGGTGTGGATTAACGTCCGCACGAGTGAGTACTACGACTATCCGCAGTACTGTCCTGATAATTAGACCAATTCGTATATACCAAGGCAAAAATGTGGTTCGGATTCCACTATAATCTGTAGGTCCCTTAGTTGCCATTAGCTGTATGGGCTATTAATTAATAGCTGTGTCTAAGGAATGTCGGCCTTAGTCACTAACAAGACTACAAGATCGCGCCACTCATCCTACACTCATCTCCATTCATACATGGCTTAAAATACCTACTTTGTATGGTCGCCATTTAATAAGAAAGTAATCAAGAAAGGCATACTTTCTATCTAATTATGAAGGGTGTTAATTTTATTTAATCTTTGTCTCCTACTATGTACCAAAGTGTAAACCATTTTAGCAAAATAAAACAGACTCACTTCCTGTGTTGTTGATATTGAAGACTAAAAGCTCATATTGTACAAGTTTACCATAAATTAAGATAGCTATCAGTTGGCATATGTACACACACGAAAAGCACATCAAAACAGGCTTTAAATTTTAAAATGGGATGGGAAGCATACTTGGAAGATCTTAAGTTTAATGTAATTTCCAAATGTAATTTAGTTTTATTCTGGATAAATCAAGTTTTAAAAACATACTGTATTAATTTCACCTCCAACATTCAAGTACTTCAATGATTATTGCTTATTTTATTCCCCGAAATTTAAGTCATTAACTAAGTCCGTATTTGACTGATGAGAGGCTTTAGAACGTCAAACATGTCAGTGGCCAAATAGTTTGAACATCTGTAATAGTCTTGGTCTACTAGAGCAAGGCCGTGCCAAGATAGATCACCCACCAGTACATTTCAATGTCACGTTTAAATTGACTTTGCAACATACGTACATTCAAAAACTTTCTAAAAATTGGTTACACAAATTAATTGGTCTGATTTTGGTGTATTGTCACAATAGAACCATGGACTAAATATATTCTCTTAATTTAACGTCCATTCGGATCAACTTAAAATACGGTTTTAAGGCATTATTCTGTCCCATATTCATTTTCATTCCAGGCCCATTGATTTGGGTATTAAATTTAGTACCTGGGGACCGAGCCATGGCTCGGTATAGTTTATTTCTATTGTAAAGGCAGTATAAAGGTAACTCGTGCTTTAGAAGTAAAACTTCAGCGTGATAATACTCTCTAAATCTAAAATGCTCTCCTATGATGGATTAGCTGAAGACAGATAAGTCCGATTCAAGCGTTGTTTACTATAAAGATTATTGTGATACAATAAATTTTAATACTAATTTAACTGAATACAGCTGTTAACATTACGTAAACTACAAAAAAGAGAGCGTAAAAGATGTAAAATCTACCCTTAAGAGTGAAACATTGCGTCGACGCCAGTGCACTCAAACGTCACCAACACGAAACATTCATCAACACTTGCTCTATTTTTCCCTACACCGAGTAATTTTTTGAGTGTAATCTTAGCTCAATAGTTACAACTGACGTTTCCCCCTTTGTACTGTATTTTGTAATTTGCTAGTGTACTATGAATTGATGTTTCAAGTCTTTTGATTACTTAAAGTCACTAAATTCCAAAATTTAGTCAAAATCCTTGCGCTGGTTTTCAAGATATAGGCCTATATTACAGACAGACAAATAAACAGACATAACTCGTACAAGAGTATAGGATTATCATTCCAATGGGATTGGGTATTTAATTTCTTAACCAATTATAAAACTTGCGTGGCCTAAAAAGAACGCTTTATCTGATAACTGTTGGTTTTGTTTTGACATTATTACGACGGAGTAAAGCGTGTACAGTTTACCCTAAAACGGGAGAAATCCGTTTTACGTTTATTAACAATCGTGCACGAATACTAGAAAAATACCGGTATGGATCATAAACATAAACAAATGACGTTGTTGGCCCGAATCCTATATTAATAGCAATGAACATATGTTTTGGCAGTTCCATTTAAGGAATGTTAAAATAATGTTTATTTTCGGGCCAAAAACGTCATTTGTTTATGGTTTTGATCCATATCGGTATTTTCCTAGTATTCGTGCATTCGTGTAAAGGTAACTCAACTCAATAAAACGTGGGACAAGTTTCGAACCATCAAAAAGCTACTGACTTTTCTCAGGATTGAACCAGTAACCTTTTGATTGTTAGTCGAAAACCACTCAGCTACCCAGCCAGTATGAAGTTCATTACTAATAAATATAATATACAATTTTTGTGTCAACACCTTTTTTAAATCGCCCTTTAGCTTTCGCGGGAGCCTCATGTACCCTGGGGGCGACATTGAGTTCAACCACAGGCTAGTAGTATATGGTTCAACCAAACAAAACAAATAACAAATTCTATATTACTTGAATTCCCTCCATTTTTAAGCAACCGAAATTTAACAATTAAAATTTAAATAATAATCTTTCTAATGACATTAAATTTTGCAGTGAATTTTACCCATTCTTCATGTATAGCATTTTTACATGAACTATACCCTTTACCCACTGCAATAAAACTTAAGTCCTGTATATCCCCCCTCGCCCCCCACAAGGTCGTGTACTACACCAAGACGTCGCGGCGTGTAGCAGCAGCGTCGCCATGACGTCACAGCCGCCGTGGTGGGGGCGATATTCTTAGCCGTGCTCGGGTCTCGCTCTTCCTTCACCGTACATTGCTCAGTTTCTTCACCAAGGGTCCACGTCGTCCGTCATGTCCGTCCAAGAAGCAACCATGTTACCCGCCTTGGCGGATCCCATGTCTTTCGCGAAGGATTTTATCGCGGGAGGTGTGTCCGCCGCTATCTCCAAGACCACGGTCGCCCCCATCGAGCGAGTCAAGCTGCTTCTCCAGGTCCAGCACATCTCCAAGCAGATCCCCGAGGATCAGAGGTACAAGGGTAAGTCCTGTACATCCATGTGAACTGTAGAGGTAGTTGCAGAGGGTCCGTCTAAAGAAATGCAGAGTTTATGGGAGAGAAGTGTGGTGAGAGATCCTATTATCTACGGTTTGATATTTAACTCATGTGTGTGCGAGTACCGCAAGTGAATACAGTGCAAAGGGTTTGAACAATTTAGATTACATTTTTCAATGTATCACAATAATTTAAACAGTGTATGTAGGCAGTCAGTTAGGAGTGAGAAGTTAAATTTAGCGTGAGAAGGCAAACTGTCGAAGTAGACAGTTTGGATCATTGTGAAAACCTATAAAATCAAACAAGTTTGCGAACGAGCATGATTGGACTATGGGAACTGTGTTAAGTTCAGCAGAAAGTTGATCGTGTAATGTAATGTTAAATGTTCAACTGCTAAGTAGATAGTATATTTTGGAGAGCTACTAGAGAGTAGGTACATTGTGGCACTTGGAAGAAAAAGTCTTCAGTGACGGCTTAAACTGCAGGAATCGAATTTTAAGTAATCCCTAGCCCTACTACTGACTGAACAAACTAACGAAACATTGAGGACAGATAGACCAAATTTAGAAGTGGATTGACCAATGATAAACGAGAGATTTTATTTGAGATTGTCTTTTGGTCTTTTTGTCTTTTTGTACATACATTTTACTCTAGAGAGTACAAAATTGAACAGCTATTACTGTTGTACAATTCGTCATAATATTGACAATTTGTAATGAAGAACTACTGTTTCACAAAATCACTTAAGCTTTGAATAGCATCACAATCAATAAATCTAGTTGACTGTTTATTTAAATTTTTCTAAACATTTCATCACCAATATTACATGTTGGTTAACAGCCTGACGAATTTATATTGGATCGCTCCACTAGGGAATATAAGCTGATTGCTTGATATTGATAAATCTGGGTTAATACTACATATTACGTTTAGGACTTGTGATAGATGGACTGTTACAATAAGGTGTACTATCAAAAGTCCCATTATGAAGAAGAGAGCGCTTTAACATTATTTAGTAACTGTACATCCTAAAAATAACGTAGCAAAGTAGTTCAAGGTGTTTCATTTATTCCAAGAGTGCCAATTCTTGAAGGTGACCCTTCAAGGTCATGTGGGTCAAAATGAATGTAGATAAGAGATCAGTAATCAACAATGGGGATGAAGAATTGATTATAGATTCAATTTCCGTTTGGTAATTTTTAAATTGGCAAACAAAATTATTTAATAAAAAGGTTTAAAGATATTTTTTTTAAAACCTGTTGCAAATTTTGTAGCGAAATAATATTGAGTTCTAAATGATTTATGGAAAAATTAACCTGCCCAATAAATAACTGTTGACGCATTTATTGTGAAAAAATATCCAAGGTGATCTACACACGGTGTATTATTTAAGGTGTGTTTGAAAGGGGATCCTAGAAGAAATTTTGTTGAGTGGATTGCTATAGGCGAATTGCTATAGAACGCATTATTTAGCTTAATGTAAAGAATTTAAAAAAATACTAGTTGTTTGCCCGTTCTACGTACGGGAATATTGTAGTAAGTTGAAACCTTATATTCAGGACAGGAGTTGGTTTGCATATTTAGTGTGCATTTTTCCAGATATGCTGGCAAAACTATTACTGTATGTGAATACAAATAAACCTTCGCAAATCCAATATCTGACTGTTTCAAATTCAAAACGAATGCTTCGCATTTAAATGTCTCCCGATCGTGTTAGTCCATATTTTATATCTAATGATAAAAGGAATTGCTTTATAGATCTATGAGGCATAGCCCTAATGTAGGCCTATAATTGAAAGTTACTTTTCACACCGGTAAAAAGTAGTTAAAATACCACCTCAACCTCACTACTGCACACTTTATTCGGATTGAAATTTTCATTAACAAAGGTGCTCTTGTCTTTTCCTCCACGAAACACTGAGAAATAAAGAAATTAATGCGTTAACAACATACATACACACACAATACGTTGGTTAGTCTATGCTATTACAAACACTTTGTTGTCTAGTATTGCTAGGCAACTCTTTATTATTAACCAGACTTAGTTAACAGATTGAAACAAAACATAAATTCTAGCTTTTCTCTGGAAGTTTTAAGTCCTGCAGTCTGTGGTTAACCTTAAAAAATAATTCAAACTACGTCCATATGTTATTTGTAAACAAAAGGAAATGAGTTTGATCTAATGTCAACAGATAGCGCCGCCTTCCAAACTTTAGCTCTTAAGTGTACTTAAGTGGTGCCCTTTCTTAATATTCTGAGACGTATTTGCACATCTACGTGAAAATACCTTTAATTTGACACCTCAAACGTTAAAATCCGTCAAACCGTTATCGAGTTATGACTGTGAAAAGAAAACTGCTTGCGTAATTAATATATAGAAGATGCCCTTCAATTTGTTTCTTTTAATCTAACAAAACAATTAGTACAGGTTGACATAACAATTACGGTATTGTATGACATAATGTCATTTAAATATTATGATCAAGAGTTGGAAAACCTGAAAGCAAAATTTCGATTCTAAACGGGTCCGTATTGGGGTTCTAATAAATAAAGCTAAAAACCCTCTTTGTGGGCCTATGTATTTTTAAGAGTTTTTACCACGTTTTCTTTTCGAATTGAGTGATTTGTTTGAGGTCTCCAAAGGAAGGAATTGTTGTCAAATAAACCGGACTAGCCGCATCTTCGAGATAAATTTGTAAAAATAACGTCAACACATTGCTCAACAACATCTTTTACTCAACAACTATTTTCACTTCTAAAAGGTTTTGTTCGCACTTTTATACTCAACAGCACGACAGTTGGCAGAGCTATGTTGCCTTCTAAAACATCCTCTTTGAGTCTTGGTTATACACAATGGACCATTAAATAGTCAAGTATTTGTAAATCATAACTCATGGTTTACAATTGAACGCATTGATTGGGAATCGTCCCTATAAACTTATTCCCTTCAGATAAACCCCTCGAATGTTCTTTTTGAGTTCTTTGCGAAGCACGGAGACAGGTATTGTGTAAATATTATTCAATGTGCATAGCGAGTGGGTTGTAACTTTTGCAATCTGATTAATCGACTTAAAGTATAGCCAATTATAGTATAATCAAGACTGAAAGAGGACATTTCAAACCCTATTTAGTATTTTCAAATACTTATTTGAGCTGAAATGCGAATGTAGGTTAGTGTTAATGCTAAAGTAAACTATGAGAGATAAACGTAGCCATGAACTAAAACAAGTCTGACAGTTGCAGTTAAAGTTGTACAATTCCTATTAAAAGTTGGCATGAATACCTCTTAGCGTCACATCGGGCTTGGGATTAGGTAGGCTACATTTAAAAAAATAAAATCATTAATCGACATATTTAATTTTATTACTTTAACTCTTAATCCACTTCTTTGATCCAAAGGGATTCCTAGAGCAAGGTTAAAATGGGTTTATATGTCAAAAACCTTCCAAAATATTCAACAGTTCGTTTTGAACGTCAAAATTTTATTTATCTAACGTTTTATAAAACGTAATCCATATAGAAATCCCAAGGTACCAAATTTTGAGAAAACTAAAAGTCACATCCCCATAAACCATATACTCCATTCCGAACCCAACGTTGTGTTTATTATCCGTCAATGTTTACTTTCTACCACAAGTTGAAGTAATTAAGGGGGGTTAAAAAGTGTTGACAGTCAAATGACACGGATATAACTTTAAATTTCTTGGGCAAAATAAGCTAACAACGTCAGAAAACTAGTATCTTCACCTTTACTTCACAGTGGGGTATGGCTTAAGAATTGGAAAAATATTGTTGAAAAACAGTGGCATTCTACCACTCATAAACGAACGTTATTCAGCTTCTATAATCAATTTTCTTTTTTTAAATCAATAAATGTGCTTAGCTTTACAACACACGTTATTTTTTTCACTTCATCGGTATACAAATGAGAAATAAATAATCTTTTAAGAACTGTTTAAATATTGTAAACTCTGTATAACAAAGATAGAAGTACAATAAGGGATCATAGATACATTATAGGTTCCATGTTATTATTCATTAATTTGAAATTTATCGTGGCCTTTATCTGACACACGCAGTTCAGCATTTCAGAGCAGAACATAGTGAGGAATAAACTTTTATTTGAGAAAAGGTCTCCAACATAACAATCTTTTCGTAATAACGGCTAATGTATAATATCTCTTATGGTTACTATTGGTGATTGTTTTTTTATTTTTAAATGTGAAGGCCTGCGTAAAACATTTGGTTAAATGCAACTCAATTTCAGTAATGGTATACTAATGAATTGAATAAGGCAAGAAGCAATGTGTTGAAATACAATCCATAGATCACACCGGGTATCAAAGTAGATTTAAGTCTTCCTTTAGAAACCCCTGTAACAAGAGGTGTTCCCCAAGGATCCGTTCTTGGCCCTGTGCTATTCCTCCCTTCATGCATAACTCGTGGTAAACTGTACCTTTTTGCAGATGACACTTTTACCTAGCACGATGCAGCCCTTCCTTAATGTCCTCGAACAAATTGCATTCCTAGAGGCGAATGCCTTACATCAGGAGTTTGATGATAACCTTCTGAAAACCAACACTGCAAAGACCCAGCTAATCAAATTTCGAGTCTCAAACAGGTCCCACAAATAATATCCGAATCAGTTACTTCTTCTTGATGAAACCTTCATTCATCCTGTACAGTCTGTCATATTCTTAGGTATTCACTTAGATGAATACAAGCTGGTATACCCGTGCTTTGCAACGGGAAGAAAATGCGACCTAGAGAGCTATTAAAGTAATTCTGATGTGTGTTTTAAAATACGGCAACTCTATGACTTAGTTTGAAAATATAAACTGATTTAAAAGTGTAAACCTACTTACTTTCAAACCCCTACTTTTTATCTTAATAGATCCAAAAGAATATGACAACATACCTTCAGTGTGTCAATAGCATCAATTGCTTCATATTGACCATAATTCTTCAACTTTAGTCAAGCCTCTTTACATGTAGCTTACTATATAAATTATAAAATGAAACTTTGAGTAATACTTTACAAAACGTATACGGTACAACCTTTTTTCTTTAAAACCAAACATAACCCTCCTAAATATACATAAAGCGTCACAAACCTCTTTTTCGAGTAAATAAACAAACACCAGTTCATCGTACTGACCAGCTGTTTCATTAACTAAATCCTATACTCTAATACGAGCAAAGTTTGCTTGTATGTATGTATGTATGTATGTATGTATGTATACTTGCACCAAGATCTCGAAAACGGCTCCGACGATTTTCTTCAAATGTTGTATATAGTTTATTTCTGGCCTAAAAACGAGCTTACTGCAATTAGAACTGCCATCAAAAATCTAATTACGTAGAAAAATGAAATTGAAAATCACATTTTTTTTAACATTAGTCTTATGGGTTGCTAGGTAACCATGTTGGATGAATTAAATAACAAGGAAAAAGTAAACAAAAGACTTGTAGCTTGTAATTTGTCTATCCACAGTATACTAGCAAAACAAAATACAGTACAAAAGGAAAAACATCAGTTGTTACTATTGAGCAAAGATTATACTGAAGATTACTAGATTCTATAGTCAAGGGTAGCAGTGTGGAGTGTGGGATCTGTTTATGACGATTAGATTACGGTATCTGCAATCCTTAAATGCTATGGAAAGGGAGGAAAACAGGTCCACGACATAGGAAGTGGTGAAGGAAGTAGTAAAGGCGAGCAGTCTGGAGTGTGGGAACTGTTTATGACGATTAAATTAAGGTATCTGCAATCCTAAAATGTAATGGGAGGGAGGAAAACAGGACCATGACGTAGGAAATCGGGAAGGAAGTTGTAAGGCTAGCAGTGCAGAGTGTGGAAACCGTCTGTGGCATTTATGTATCTGCAATTTTAAAATAGTATAAAGAAGGAGGGCAAACAGGTGTACGACATAGGGAGTGGTGAAGGAAGTAGCAAGGGTGAGCAGTCCGGAGTGTGGGAATTGTTAATAACGATTAAAAAAAGTTATCTACAATCCTAAAATGCTATGGGAATGGAGGGAATCAGGTCCGCGACGTAGGAAGTGGTGAAGGAAGTAGTAAAGGCGAGCAGTCTGGAGTGTGGAAACTGTTTAAGAGGATTAGATTAAGGAATCTACAATCCTAAAATGCAATGGGAATGGAGGGAAACAGGTCCGCGACGTAGGAAGTGGTGAAGGAAGTAGTAAAGGCGAGCAGTCTGGAGTGTGAAAACTGTTTATGACGATTAGATTAAGGAATCTACAATCCTAAAATGCAATGGGAATGGAGGGAAACAGGTCCGCGACGTAGGAAGTGGTGAAGGAAGTAGTAAAGGCGAGCAGTCTGGAGTGTGGAAACTGTTTAAGACGATTAGAATAAGGAATCTGCAATCCTAAAATGCTATGGGAATGGAGGGAAACAGGTCTGCGACGTAGGAAGAGGTGAAGGAAGTAGTAAAGGCAAGCAGCCCGGAGTGTTGGAACTGTTAATGACGATTAGATTAGGGTATCTGCAATCCTAAAATGCCATTGGAAGGGGGAGAAACAGGTCCGCGACGTAGGAAGTGGTGAAGGAAGTAGTAAAGGCGAGCAGTCTGGAGTGTGGAAACTGTTTAAGACGATTAGATTAAGGAATCTACAATCCTAAAATGCTATGGGAATGGAGGGAAACAGGTCCGCGACGTAGGAAGTGGTGAAGGAAGTAGTAAAGGCGAACAGTCTGGAGTGTGGAAACTGTTTATGACGATAAGATTAAGGAATCTGCAATCCTAAAATGCTATGGGAATGGAGGGAAACAGGTCTGCGACGTAGGAAGAGGTGAAGGAAGTAGTAAAGGCAAGCAGCCCGGAGTGTTGGAACTGTTAATGACGATTAGATTAGGGTATCTGCAATCCTAAAATGCCATTGGAAGGGGGAGAAACAGGTCCGCGACGTAGGAAGTGGTGAAGGAAGTAGTAAAGGCGAGCAGTCTGGACCCTGGGAACTGTTTATGGGAACTACATTAAGGTATCTACAATCCTAAAATGCTACGAGAAGGGAGGAGAGGAAAACAGGTCCATGACGTAGGGAGTGGTGAAGTAAGTAGTGAAGGTTAGCAGTGTGGAGATTGGGAGTGGATTAATGTATCTGCAATACTTTTCAGAGTAAAGTAATAATTTTCCCAGAGCAAAGCTCGGTCCCCAGGTACTTAAATTAAATCATGTAAACTTTGGAAGCATGCCAGGCGTAGCCCTTTGGAAATCAGCCTGTGGGGCAGAGCCCTTAGGAAATTTGTCCATATAAATACTTTTCGGCAAATCTACACACCCTAAGCTTCATTTTGATGTTCCATATGCCTATATTTTTATTTGGTAAATGGCCTTAACCGTTTACATAAAATTTGATTGTATCACTTTAATAATATAATAGACTAGCTGTACCCGCGGGCTTTGCCCCGCTTAACTTCATAAGTATTCGCATGGCTCAATCACGTCCTGGTTGAAGTTCGTTCGCTACGCTCACTCACCTTCAGGTTGGAAATCGTTCGCTGCGCTCACATGTTTTCAGGTTAGCTCGTTCGCTACGCTTACTCGCCTCCAGGTTGATGTTCGTTCGCTACGCTCACTCACCTTTTGGTTGCAAATTAGCGGTTGTCATAAATTGTTTGCTAAAGGTTTTTATGTTTTAATATTTAACATTGGAGAATTTAAACGTTGTTGACTGCACAGGTGTGCTGCGATTGGGGTTTAATACATTTGGACTTATTAAAAAGTAAAATAGTTCTCTGTGCTGCACTCTGTAGTAACACTGTGGCACTATTTCAAATCATGACTAATGCTAATACAGAATGTTGTGATTATTCAAACCTACAAAACAGTTGGTGAAAGTAAACATCTGCTTTTAAATTATATTTATTTGTAAACATTGTAGATCAAAAAGTCTGACATTGGCCCACTTAAAACCCTCTGGGGCAGAGCCCTTTTGACGGATCTGCACCAAACTTCACTCGAACCATCCTTGAAAGATGCTTAATAATGCCTGAAAGTTTCATTACAATCTGTCGAGCGGTTTCGGAGTCCATAACGTATACACACACACACACACACACACACACATACATACATACATAGTTCCTCTTTTATAGATATAGATTTAAATTTCAAATATCATGGCTTGATTTTAAACATATGATATGATTCTTTGTTTTGTTTACAATTACGTCGTTATTTTGTAACCATCATGGCAACCCATAAGGCCAATATTAAAATTTGTAAACTGAGCTACTGAGGCATTACCAAAAATTTAAATTGTTTCGTCTTAACCTTCCTAACATTTGTCGGAACAACCTTGGCAAGTTTGGCTAAAATATTTTCAGCCGTAATTGAGAGATAGTGTTAGAAAGTTTGCATTGAAGCCGGTCCCAAAGAGCTTCGCTTCGCCACACTCAAAAATTTCTGTATATTCATCTTAATTTCTTCAACACCACCTTTTGTACAATGGAATATAACTTTTTGACCAAATTCCTCAACATCTAAATCTGGAGACTGGTATACTCAGGTTTAGGAAAAAAAACTTAAGGAAATATTACTTGTAAAGGATTGCTACAGATTCCGGGATTTTCCGCTGACAAGTAGTCAGTGATTTATTTTAGATTTTATAAAAGTCTAATCGTTTTAGTCAGTAGTCTTTTGTACCTTCTGTATATTTAAATTTTGTAATGTGACTTTTACAATACAATGTATTTTGGAAGTTTGGAATAAAGACCTTATGACTTATGACTTTTTAATGAACATTGTCATGGTCCGCAAGCTCTCCCTTATGCATTTTAATGTATAAACTAGATTAACCATTCTTATGAATCAGCCAAAGACAGTGTAAAGGTACAACTCATGTCGTTATTTATTTCTGAATCCTCTCTTTCCACTAGCTAAATAAGGTTTTTCTATTAATGGTTCCGAGAGGTAAATTGGACTCAGTAACATTTACTCAGAGATAAGATGGTACATTTCAATTCCATATACACTCTAGACGTCACCGGGGACCAAACCCACATGAATTAGCTTCAAACAATGACTTTGCATACAGATGGTAAACTTTTTTTATCTGATGTTTGTTTTATCTATGTTTTCTCATGTTGGTAATGTTTATAGAGTGATGGTGTTGACTGAATGAGCCCCTTTTATTTTAGAGTGGATTTTCGATATGGGCTCCACTTTTTTGTTATAAAGCCATATGAGAAGATATTTTCTATAATTAGAATGTTTTATTTGCCCAAATGTATATATTAACAGGCAAGCATTTTTTAAAACCTTTTTTCTCAGCTCGTGTGCATCGCAGAGAAAATCTACGCATACAGTTAGAAATATATTTTCCTGTAGATGTGCAGAATCCCTTTATAAATTTAAATAGGCTCAAAAATAAGCGCACAAAATGAGTTTAAAATTTTGAAAAAAATAACATGGATCTTATGGGTTGTAATGCTGGTGACGAAATAACAACGAAATATAAACAGAAAATCAAAACAAATGTAAGAAACTCCAATCACATGTTTTATTTACAGCGTGGGGTGAAAATAGAGAAGTGTGTACATTACATATTTTTGGTCTAGTTTCGACCACTGGACGACCTCTAGTTTTAATAAATCGACAATTAATTAATAGTAAATAACAAAGTACTGTACACAACCACACAATGAACACAATGGACCAGGCGAAAATACTGTAACTAACAATTTATATTTTTGGTCCCAGGTATGGTGGATTGCTTCGTCCGAATCCCCAAGGAACAAGGAGTGTCGGCCTACTGGAGAGGCAACCTCGCCAACGTCATCAGATACTTCCCCACTCAAGCTCTCAACTTCGCCTTCAAGGACAAGTACAAGCAGATCTTCCTGGGCGGCGTGGACAAGAACACACAGTTCTGGCGCTACTTCGCCGGCAACCTGGCATCCGGAGGTGCCGCGGGAGCCACCTCCCTGTGCTTCGTGTACCCCCTAGACTTCGCCCGAACCAGGTGAGGTCTAGTCATTACAGAGACATTGCTCCATAACGCATAGTCCAAAAACGTTACCTCAACTAACCTTAGCTCAAAATTTAGAAATTCAATGCCACGAAAGTCTTTCGTCTAAGAGATTTTGGCATTGTAGAATATTCACAAAGAAATTTCTGTGTCGTGTGGTTTTAAACTATACATTTTGAAACTATGTCTTCCTTGTCGGTGTCCTCTATTGTATACCTCCAAAAACAGGAGACCGGTAAAAAATGACGCAGACGTTTGCGAGACTGACGTGGATCTTAAGGCAGCAAATAATGTCTCGGGGTCGCATCCTGGAGTCAAAACTTATATGTTTTTTTAATAAGGTTTCAATCTTTGTATTATACTTCAGTACTGGTTCATCCCTTGCTTTGCTTGAAACCTCAAGGGCCATGCGGGTAAAATACAAAGTGACCGTAAACCTCTTCGGAAAAAGTTATACCACAATGCTCATTGTATGGATTCTTAGTCAACTGCATGTACAACAGCTCTACGAACTAAATTAAGAATAAAATAGGTACAATATAAAAGTAGTTTCTTTATTTGGAGATGACATACAAAGCGCTAAGCTAATTTCCTCACGCATACTTTCCCAGTGCAGACCAAACACATTTCCAAGGAAATCTCTCATTCGCTTATTGATGTTTCCCATGATTTGACCCCAGTCACGCAACTTATTCAGAATTCTGTTTACAAAAAAGTTTCATCTTGGTAAATTAAAAGGAGAGCTTACTGTAAACGTAATATGTTACGACACCTTTTCAAATTATTAAACGATATGAAAGAAAATGCCCTTTTGATCACTTTGTCCGATGATCACAATACAAAGTTGTCCATTAACTAGCGCCATCCAGCTATAAAATTTTTACTTCAGGATCGAAGTGCCCACAATCTGATTTAACAAAACCGTACTAGTATCAAGTTAAGTAATACCATAGATAAAACATAATGATAATACAGTTCAATTTCGTTTCTAAATTAAATGGTAGGTGATGAATTCATGTTTAAGGCATTTTCAAAGAACGAACATTGGCTCTTTTGCACACTGACCCCGTTGCAAGGCACGAGTATAGCTGTTAGTCTAGAATAAAACAACTCAACACAGAGGATAAAACAACCTAAGTTTTTAATGCAGCTATTCGACTCTCGTTCTTCGTCCTCATCAAAATAAGCTGAATCAATCACTGGAGTTTTACTAGAGGCAAACCACATTGACAAAACCCACATGTTTTTAATTTGAAATAAGTTATGTGACAGAAGTTTACTGTATTGATGACTCTAGGTTAGCTGCCGACGTCGGCAAGGCCGGAGCCACCCGAGAGTTCAAGGGTCTGGGCGACTGCTTGACCAAGATCTTCAAGACCGACGGTCTGGTGGGAATGTACCGTGGGTTCGGAGTGTCTGTCCAGGGCATCATCATCTACCGAGCCTCCTACTTCGGCTGCTTCGACACCGCCAAGGGTATGCTGCCTGACCCCAAGAACGCCGGTTTCTTCCTATCCTGGGGTATTGCTCAGGTATGTACCTTTGGGTAGTTAGTTTGTAACTTAAAATTTTTGTTCTTAATGTTTTGGACAAACATTTAGTTATGCAATACACTTAACTGATCGTTTAACCAACTCAGTGTTGTTTATTACAGTAATTAAAAGTGACATGTCGTATTGTGCTTCAATTTTGATCATTATCATTATCAATAGATTTAACTAAGCTGAGAATATTATTTTGAATCAATGTTCATCGGTGTTTAACTTACAGGAATACGCTTCCTAAGATTTTTCAAACAAATGGTAAAATAAGGATCTCATTTGCATACCTAACCTGATGTACCTCTATCACGTCCATAACGAAAGATGCGCGTTCTTTAATGTATTATATTTGTTCATTGTGCTGTCTTTATTCCAGGTGGTGACCACCGTCGCCGGTATCGTGTCCTACCCCTTCGACACAGTCAGACGACGTATGATGATGCAGTCTGGTCGCCCAGTTGCTGAGCGTACATACACCAGCACAGGTCATTGCTGGGCCACCATCCTCAAGTCTGAGGGCACCGGAGCCTTCTTTAAGGGAGCTTTCTCCAACGTCCTCCGAGGAACCGGTGGTGCCCTCGTGCTGGTCCTGTACGACGAAATCAAGACCTTCCTGTTCTAAACGTCTTCGGCGACGTCTGTCAACTCTGGAGTTCCTCCGGGACCATCGCCGTCCTAGTTACTTAGTACCGTCGTTTTGTACTCGAACAAGCACCTCCGGCCACAGACAATCGCGTAGGTGTAGATGCAATCGCCAACACCGCTTGTGAATTGTGAATCGGTTCTTCCTCGCTGTACGACCGTGGTTAACTGAAATTATTTGACTGTGAATGAAGAGAGGCGATTCTGTAACAGTATCTAAATTCCCTTGGTGAAAATCTGAATAAACGTGAATGCTGAAATAGCACAGCACCGTTTGATTCGACACGGTCGAAACGGGCTGTGATACTTTAGCATTCCCACATCGATCATGAGTGTTTTAATCTTCCTATTCCAAGATCAAGATCAATGTCCTTCACCTAATGGTATTTCCTAAATGTTTTAAACCCTCCACTCTTACATATTTACAAATAACATACATGGATGGATATATATCGAAAATATAGTTTTGGGGGATACTGTGTAATTGTAGTTCATGTTATTACGCTCCAAAGCATTCTTTCAAAATACTTCTGAAGAAAATATATACAACATAAATAGTTCAGTACCTTTGTAAGGGGTTTTTGTTAAATTTGTAAGCTATTACATAAACGCTATATTCTAATGAATAGGCCTATATTAATCCCTCACATTTGTCATGCTTATCTGAACAATCGGATTGCAACATTATCTGAATATGTATTACACTTTTAACTACGTGTGAAATGTGTACATATTTTTCAATAATATCGGTATTTTGATTTTACTCTATGGCTATTAGTTGATTAAACATATTTTCTTCCATGATTATTTGAACGTAAGAAAACACAAAGAGACTCAACGTTTCTTAAACATCATGATCACAGCATAAGCACGATTCCTTTGCATTATTAGGTTACACCTCACTTTTGGCCGAGAAAACAAACGGTCCACTTGGATGGTCCGAATTTGGCACAGAGAGGGAGAGTTGGCTTAAAGCCCGGCCGAGAATAACACAACCTGACCCAGTGTACTAACGTGGTTTCGGCAAACTCCCATTTGATACTGACTGTCTCTTATAGCTTTATAGCTTTTCAAAAAATATTAAATGTAACTAAAACTAAAAACCTGATTATTCCTTAAATTTTAATTTTTAAATAACCAAGCCACTATGTGCTATTCCAGTTACATTCACACTTGTGTGGTGGCAAAGCTAAAAAGTTGATTCACTGTTATGAAAAGTGGTACAACTGCTTTTCTACAGAGTGCAGGGCCGAGTGCCAATTGCCTAAAAACTTTAACGAGGTCATTTTACAGCCTAAGGCTTGGCGTGAGTGCCAGCCAGGTTAAATGAAAAATGAAAATGCAACTTTACTTGACCAAACTACCTGATTAAGAAAAAATTGAATTAAGGTTTACTAATCTAATTGATATTTTCAATGAATATTAGGGTAGCCCAGTTAAGAAACTATACCCCGAACTGTACCCTCACCTGAATCACTCTTACGCGGATTCAGGTTAGGTTAGGTTAGTCGAGTAAAACGGCACTCGGCCCGGGGATGCGGAATACAATCCCCCGGAAAACTACCCCCCCAGGTGAAACGTGACGTCACAAAATCTGCTAACTAACCAATATGGAAGCCGTGTCCGCGACTGGAATACTACCCCCCCCCCCTAGACAAATCATGCTATGTAATTTTAATTTTAATTCGAGTAATTCCGTTGGATAATAGAAAAGGCATGTGGTGAATATAAAGCCGATTTTAGAAATGTTACAGCAAGTTTGGTTGGTTAGGTTAGGTTAGATTAGAACTGTTTGACAACTAAATTTGAGTGTCCGTGACTGGAAAACTGCCCCCCCCCGGTTTCTGACGTCAATATGACGTAGGGACCTGCTTGGGGGGGGGGTAGTTTTCCGGGGGACAGTCTTCCGGCGACCCCTACCTGACGGTTTTAACAATCATTTATGACCCCCACGACAAAGAATAGAACGGCACTCGCTCCGTTTCCCCTTTCTACAGGAGCTTCAGAGCGCTACCTTTTTCCATTCTATTGTTAAACTACGTTGCAATGAAGCCCATCTAAATTCCACTAATAAATTGTGAAGTAGGCTATAGTTATTAGTGTAACTAGTGTGCGGGTGAAGCAAAGGCACTTTGCGCTCACATTACACATTAGATTTTTCCTACATTTACTATAAACAATCCATACATCTATGTGTAGATTTGCAAATAATCATAAAATTGTGATTTTATTAAATATATGTGGTGAAAAAATTACATTAAAAATGAATTCTTTCAAGTTTTTTTTAGTTTTTATCTGTATCCACTTTATTCCGCCTTTATTGAGCATTTTCAAGAAATAAATACAGTAGTAGTAAGTGTAGGAAATTGTATTCTCTTTCAGAATTTCACCTTCCACTTTGGTCGATTTCCTCGCCATTTAAAAGTTTTTTGCAAATAAGCTAAGTACCTAGCCTCCAAATTTATAGTTGTTAGACAATTCAAAATTAGAGACATTTTTGTACCACTTTGTACAACTAAATCTACAGTTGGTACTGGACCGGTAAATAAAATCTTTAACCATTTAGATTTGAAAATAATTATGAAAGTTTGATTTTCGTAGGTTTACGGCAGTAATGGGTTTGAAGGGAGGCATAATCTGATCATATGAAGTGTTTATAATTTTACCTACGACCGTTTTTTAAAGTAGCCGTTTCAGTTCGGTTCTTATTAAAATTGAAAAGTTTCTCATAACAGCATTGTTTACTTTCATAACAGCATAATTTTACTCATAACAACACGGGTAAAGGACCAACGAGGTTCAAGGATTGAAAGAGAAGAAATAAAATCTATATATAATTTGAAACTGTTTTTCTTTGTGACAGCTAATTTGAGAGAACGGCTGGGCGTAGAAACTCGGTAGAGGTGTCTAAGGTCTTGGTCCGTAGATGAGCCATCAAAAGAGAAACGTGGTTAATTTCCTTGGAGCTCTGCCCCAGAGACCTTTAAATTCCCATCCCATGTTATTCTTATGGAGGAAAAACGGGGTTTTGTCACAGCTAATTTCTGAGAACAGCTGGGCGTAGAAACTTGGTAGGGGTCTCTAAAGAAAGTTCTTGGTCTGTAGATGAACCATCAAAAGAGAAACGAGGTAAATTCTCTTGGAGCTCTCTCCCAGAGACCTTTAAAGTCCCCTCAGCAGATTTGTTTACATTACGACCATATGCATAATTTTACACTACTTTTTAATGAAACAGCTGTTAATATTTAAATTGTGATTTACTGAATTCGTCAAAATGAAGTATTTGCAATGGTTTTTTCTGATTTTAAAATCGATTTTCTTCTGCATCGTGTCATGTTTTGCAATATAATTTTCTATTGCCAAATCAGTGGAAAATCCTAATATCACAGTAACTCTTAAAATTATTTCTTATGGAGTTAACTTATGTCTATTGTATGGGTTGGTTTCTGCCTTTTTACCACTTCTTGGAGATTGTACGTAGGCGTGTTGCACGTAGATGATATTCTTTGGCGTATTGCATCTGTAGACGATACTTGGGTTGGTGTAATTATTACAATGGAAAAAAGCGAGAAATCCTGGACAATTTGATATAGGCCTACTAAAAATAAAACTGAATTAACACTGTGCTACATTTCTTGAGCAATCATTGAAAGAGCCGATTTGCAAACAATGGAAACATAAGAAAGTCATAGAACACAACCAAGTAGAAGAAATAGAAATAATGTTTTTTTCTTCATTTATAATCGTTATTATAGAGAACCTAATGCGGCTATGAGTTGGAAACATTTGTAGAAAACTCTAAAAACAAGATCAGCTTTTGAAAAAAGATAAGATATTTACAAACAATTTTGATTGTATCTAAAAGAATAAGAGCATTATATCTAAAGAGCATCGTGAGTATTTCCACAATCGTTGAGTCAACTTTTATAAAGTCATTGGAAATTATGACCGTTATTCGTTTTAAAACAACGCCTGTAATGCTTCGCAATTGCTCTAATTCGAGCAACAGGTACACTGGTTGAGATGATTCGAACTTCAACTAATCAGCTGTTCAGGCCAATTTAATTGTTGAGTGGTGCAATTATATTTTGGTATGATGTTTCGTTTCATCACTATCAGTGGCAATGGGAGGTTATACACGAAAACATAACCTCTCTTAGAAGTTAGGAGTAGTGATTTTTAGTAATTAAAACACTGTCGTAGGAAGTAGTGTACGCAAATTACTTGGATAGTGTTAACGACACGAGTAGAAAATTTAAGGTACGAGCATTTTTCATAACGATTATTTACCTTGAGAACGTTGTATCATTGACTTTATACAGGGTGTTCATTTGAAAACTTTCCATATCTGTTGTGTGCAAAGGTAAGGCTTTTAACACTTGTTTGTTCTCATTTCCCCCTAATTTGGACATGCCAAATCCAATAAAATTATTTTCAATTTTGAAAAATGCCCCAAAAGGGCCCAATTTGGGGGGTAGGGGTGCTTTTTGAGAAATTTTCAAATGTAAACATGGGTTGTGTGATACATCAATTTAAAGGTCTAATCACCCCGATCATTTTGGTGCAAAAAAAGTTTAATTATCTTTAACCGTATTTACAGGGTGGGTCAAAACGTTTTAAAAAAGGACTTTGAAGTTAAGTACCGTATTACCCTAACTACTGAACGGAACAGCGCCAAATTTCTTTCCAAGCTTATTCTTGAGCTACTCTTTAAGATAACTTGTAGTAAGGGCATTTTCCAAGTTATTTTCTAATTTTTAAAAAATCTCAAATTTTAAGAATAAAAGAAAGCTGAAAACTCAAAATTCTTAAATAGCAAGGTATAACAAATTTCATACCACGTGAAAGGTCCTTTTTTAACAAACATTTTACGTATTTAAGTTTTCTTTCTATCTCTTACCGTTTAAAAATTGCAGTAGAAAAACATAATTTTCTGTGGTAAAATTGTAACTAGTTTTCTAATAAAACAGCCAAAATTCGTCTCTAGACACATTAAATGGTGCAATAACTGAAGGAAACAATTCATAATTATTTTTAGGCAGATAGGCAAACAAGTCATTACGTTTTACTTTGTGAGAAACAAGTTTTATAGCTGATGAGAAAAACCCAAGCGTGGGCCGCTTTCTGTAGTACCAGTCAATGGTAGTACTAATTTCAAAAGTACCATTTCCTGTAGTACCTAATCAAATATGGTGTAAACTTAAAAAAATATACTTTATTTTACTTATTGGTCATAACAAAAGTGTTCCAGGATAACTGCAAAGTGTTTAACAATAGATATCCAGGTATAACCTTGAGTCATATGGCTGTAAATGATTTAGTTAGGA